AAAAAAAAAAAAAAAAAAAAATGGTAGAGGAGACCTGTGTCTTTGTGGAAGCAAAAAATAGGTTTATGGGTTTAAAGGCGAACTATGTTTTTGTTTGCTTGTTTGTTTTTGGTATCAGTTCCAGATTGGTCCATGTGGGCATTTGAATTTTACAAGCCCGGCTCCTTCAGACGCTGTTACTAGGAAACGGCAGACCTGTGTTTTCCAAAAAGACGACAGTTCTGCATGATTCCAACACAACGCAAAGCTCCTGAGTATTTTCAGAACAGGATATGCTCTGATATAAACCAACCCTCAATGTCCCTTAAATCCTTCAAAAGGTTTAAGTATTTATGTTTTTAATTTTGGGTGAATATACCCTGAGGCCTAAGTAGAGAATTCATCAGGAAGTTTTCCATGAATAAATTACAATAACTGGGTCGCACGACACAGCCATATTGATGTTGCTTTGAGAGACAGCGATGACAGGCTTTTCATCATCAGGCATGCCGAGTTGTGTGTGTCCGCTTCAGGACCCCTGTGAAACCTCCCCCCTCCCACGGCCCATCTGCCCTGCAGATCTGTGACACAGTGGCAAGGCAGGGCAGGTGCACCATTGCAGGCTCACCTTGGGCGGTTTCAGACTTTTCCCTCGATGCCTTTTGGAGCGCAACAGCCGTTCTCTCTCCTAGAAGGAAACACAACGGTTGGCATTTCCAGCCAGCCTCACATCTCATGAATCAAAGCCACTGGCTCTCAAAGGGAGCTGGGCCTGCCCATCCACACCAGGCATGGCTAGTTCAAGTTCTAAGTGCCCAAGTGATGGCTGCTTCTCTGAACTGAGAGCTACAGGGAGAGTTTATTATCCACCTTTTCACTTTATTGTTATTTCATTGAAATATATTCTTCACCCTACACTGCATTGAGTCTTTCGTGTAATGAAGCAAAGATGGATGGATGGATAGATGGATGCATAGGTAAGTGGATGGAAGGGTGAAAGGATGGATGGATGGATGGATGGATGGATGAAAGGAAGAAAGAGAGAAGTTAAAGAGGCAAAGTGAGATGGAGGCAGGCAAAATGAACATGACAATTATAATCAAAGCCTTTTCTAGAATTTTGGTCACTAGCTTTTCTATTCTTTGAAGACCAGTGCATGGAACCATCACACACCCTCTTCGGTGAGCAGAACGCATTCTGCTTCTAAGATCCAACTAAAGCTCCCTTCAGGTGTTCTCTGCCTGTTGCCTAAGCTTCTTTCACAGAGAGCTGTGGAATTCTCTGGATGTAATTCCCCACCTGCTTAGGACATGCTCAATCCCCTTTGATAGATCCATGCCCCATATGCACATCCAAAACTCACACAGGCAGCCTTAGCAAGGTGCTGGTCTGATTATAAGGTTCAAGTTTGTGGGCCCAAACTCACAGTCTGCAACTGCTAAGCTAAAAACCAACCAACCAAACAAACAAAAAGTCTTCTCTGGAACAGATCATGCCAAGTCGCTAAAGGCCAAAAGACATCCTTAAAACTGATACTGCTTCTTAACCACAGCAAGCCAGGGAGAAGATGTGAGAAAAGGGTAGCCATGGAAACTGTCCCCAGGTTCCAGTGACCTCATTTAAGCCAAGGCTGCTTGATGGCAGAATGAAGCAGGAATGTGCACACCAGGGTGAGCTTGGTGACTCCCAAAGTCAGCACTGCCTGACCCTGACCCAGCTCAGCAGCATCACTCTGAGCGCCAACGCCTGTTCCTGACACCCATGTCACCAGTGCCGCCCCCACCAGGGGCAGCCGCGCCAGCTGTGCTAGATGTACCAGTGAGAGGTCGTCAATGACGTGCTGCTGCTCCAGCACCTGCAGCCTCAGGAACTCGATCTCCTGCTCATCCCTCGTCAGGCTGAGGTCATTCAGGGAGGTGTGCCGCTTCAGAGAGGCCTGCGCTGACAGCTTTTCTTTCTGCAGCCACAGGGAGACAGACCACCACAGGGTTAGCCACCAACAATGTCTGTGAGGGACGGCGCTGGAGTGGAGCTCAGGGGTGCAGGGACAGAAGGATGGATGGGAGGATGAAAGAGAGGATGGCCTGATAGGGCTGTGTCCCCACCCAAATCTCATCATGAATTGCAGCTCCCATAATTCCCACATGTTGTGGGAGGGGCCCAGTGGGAGATAATTGAGTCACGGGGGCGGTTCCCCCATCCCATGAATAAGTAGTGAATAAGTCTCTGATGTTTTTGTACGAGGTTTCCCCTTTTACTTGGCTCTCAATTTCTCTTGTCTGCCACCATGTAAGATGTGCCTACAGCCTTCCACCATGATTGTGAGGCCTCCCCAGCCACGTGGAACTGTGAGTCCATTAAACCCCTCTTTTTCTTTGTAAATTACCCAGTCTCAGGTACGTCTTTATCAGCAGTGTGAAAATGGACTAATACGTGGCCATCTTGTCCTGTGCTGGAAGAGGGGACAGGGAAGATCAAAGCCAAGTCCAAGGTGGGGCTGACCATGCACACTGCTGACAGGAAGGGATGGGCAGGGCCTGGGGGTGGAAGATGACATCTGAAATGAGCCTAGAGAGCTGGGAGGGGAAGGCAGGGGAAGGAGAGGACTCCACACAACAGCAGTTACACACACACACACACACACACACACCCCTGCACCTGCTACAGTGCAGACAGCAGAGCGCGTGTGCCATCAGAGCCTCTGTCTTCCCGGCTGTAAAATGGGGGTTGATACTACTCTGAACAATGAATCTGAAAGCATTCTGTAAACTGTCAGCTACAAGACACCCACCCCAACCACAAACACCAGGCATCCTAGCTGGAGGAGAAACCCCTCTGCAAAGCATCACCAGTGATCATCGTAATGGCTTTCACATGCTGGGTGTCCTCTGGGCCTGTTCCCTGTGAGGTCTTTACATGCTGTCATTTCAACCTCTTGATGATCCTCCAGTGTTGATATTTTCATTCCCATTTATGCATAAAGAAACAGAGGCTCAGAGAGAATGGGGGATGTGTTTAAGGACGCAGCTGTCTGACTCCCTCCGGGCACAAACACCCAGAGAACAGTGAATGTGAGACAGGTGGAGAGAAGGGAGAGACATCTGTGACTGATGCTGCTCCTGGTGCTTCGTGGGGAGGTGGGTGGCAGGTGGGGCCCAGAACGTGTGAACTGGGAGGTTCAGGGCTGGAGAATCCCAGACAGAGTTGGGAGTGCCAGGGCTGGCCCCAAGGGGCCCACAGCTCACCATTTCCACGTTTTCCCGCGTGAGGTTCTTGATTTTCTCCTCCATCCTCTGGATACTCTGCAACAAATCCTCATTTTTCTTGTTCATCCTCTTGTTTTTCTCCACCAGGGGCTTCAGCTGAACCTCGGTCTCTCGCGAGCGTTTCAGCTGTGGTTGGAAACAGGTACAGAGACTCAGACAACTTGACAACAGACGGCCAAGGTCACAGCACCAAGGTGAGCAGAGACTCAACCCGGTTAGGACCCCTTCTGAGGCCAGTGTCCTGGGTGACACATTTGTTTGCTAGTTGCATGACAATGGGCAAGTTCTCAGCCTCAATTTCCTCATCTATCAAATGCGAATCATGGCAGCTCCTGTCTCCTAGGCACATGGTGAGAATTGAATGCATAGTGGTAGTCTCCCCAGTGTTATTTTCATGGAAAGAATTAGAAACAACTTAAATATCTATCAATATTATGACAACTACAGGCACAGCCGCCACATGTGAAGGGGGCACCTTCCCCATCCCCATGTTATAGACAAAGAACCTGAGCCCAAAGAGAGGAGGCAATGGGCCCACCTTCACAAAGAAAGTGCCAAGAATGCTTTGCACTCTTGCAAAGATTGGTGGTTTGAGTTCACCAAGAATTAAACACAAGGGACTGACTCTAGACCCCTGCGTTTACTACCCAGGCTGTAAATGTTAAGGTAAAATATTCTGATGGTATAGGTTGAAATATAAAATGTACCATGTGACCCATGCATTCTACTTCTAGAAACTTACCCACCCCCCAAAAAATGCCATGTAGAAGATACATGTGTGTCTTTACTGACTTGAACCTTTATTTAAAGTCAGTAAAGACCCATATGTATCTTCTACATGGCATTTTTTTTTTTTTTGAGACAGAAGGTAGGTAAAATGACACAGGTCATTTTGACAAAGGGTATCACTTTGTCACCCAGGCTGGAGTGCCGTGGCATGATTTCAGCTCACTGCAACCTTGACGTCCTGGACTCAAGTGATCTCCCACCTCAGCCTCCCAAGTAGCCGGAACTACAGGTGTGCACCACTGTGCCCAGTTAATTTTTTTTTTTGTATTTTTAGAGACAGGGTTTTGCCATGTTGCCCAGGCTGGGCTCGAACTCCTGAGCTCAAGGAATCTGCCCACGTTGGCTTCCCAAAGTGCTGAGATTACAGGCATGTGGCACCTCACAGAAATCCAGAAAGCAGCAACAGCCTAAAGATCCACCACTGGGAAGAGAGTTGAACAGACCATGGTATTTCCACACAATGGACTACCAAGCCACCGGTAAAAAGACAAAGACAGATCTCTAAGTGCTGATGGGGAGTGCTGTAATTGATCCATGAAGTGAAAAAAGCAAGTTGCAGAACAATACACAGCAGGGGGAAAAAATCCCAATTCATAACCATAAAATAAAAAGTCTCTTGGTGGGTTTCAAGGTATTTATTTAAACGTTAAAAACATGTAAGAACCACTCCAAACTAGCAGTAGTTACCTCACGATTTTAAGATTGAGGCCGGGCACGGTGGCTCATGCCTGTAATCCCAGCACTTTGGGAAGCTGAGGCAGGCCAATCACTTGAGGTCAGGAGTTCAGGACCAGCCTGGCCAACATGGTGAAACCCCATCTCTACTAAAAATACAAAAATTAGCCAGGCATGGTGGCAAGTGCCTGTAGTCCCAGCTACTCGGGAGGCTGAGGCAGAAGAATCACTTGAACCCAGGAGGTGGAGGTTGTAGTGAGCTGAGATCACGTCACTGCACTCAAACCTGGGCGACAGAGCAAGACTCCACCTCAAAAAAAAAAAGATTGAAGCGTTGGCAAACTTATCAGTTTCTACTTTTAACTACTTCAGTCTGATCTGACATGTTTCCAGAAGCCTATGATTTTTCCTAATCCACTCAGTAAACTATTATGCAGCTCATGAGTATTTATGAGCTTATAAATATTTAAATGAAGAGTGGAGACATAATATTAGATGTACAGTCTGATTAAAGCAAAAAAAAAAAAAGCCTTTAAAAATACTGGAAGGAAGCGAATTTATTTTGATCCTGTTAAAGTTGTGGAGAGGTGATACTTATTGACACTGTTCACCACTCATTTTTTTCAAATATTCTTCTGATATACTTCCCTTCATAATAGAAATTAGAAGAAACATAAAAATTATGAGGCATCTGTCAAGAAGTTGATGTATCAACTGCCATTACATAAAAATTAGTTTTGCTCTTATCCAGAAAATATAAACATATTCATGACATTGCTATTTTTACTGGAGATTTCTTTTTTAACCAGAAGTCTATGTTCATTATTTTTACAAGTAATGTATAAGTTTTAGTTTACAAGTATATACAATTTTATGCAAAAAAGTAAATAGATAAGCACAAATTAAAATTACCCATAATTACACCACCTAAAAGAATAACTTCTAGCCGGGTGTGGTGGCTCACACCTGTAATCCCAGCACTTTGAGGGCTGAGGTGGGCAGATCACCTGAGGTCAGGAGTTCAAGACCAGCCTGGCCAACATGGAGAAACCCCGTCTCTACTAAAAGTACAAAATTAGCCAGGCATGGTGGCACATGCCTGTAATCCCAGCTACTTGGGAGGCTGAGGCAGGAGAATCACTTGAACCTGGGAAGTGGACGTTACAGTCAGCCAAGATCATGCCATTGTACCCCAGCCTGGGAGACAAAAGCAAAATTTTGTCTCAAAAAAAAAAAAAAAGAGTAACTTCTAATATTCAAGATGATGACAATGTATTATTGTTCTGTAAACTGCATTTTTCATTTAATTTACTACAAACACATTTCCATGTCAGTTAAATAGGGTCTCCATCATCAATCTTAATGATAGTCTAGAATTTATTGTATAAATATTCCATGATCACTATGCCCCGTGCTTTAGTATTGAACAATCGGGTTTTTTTGTTTTTTAATTTTTGATTTGGTTTGGTTTGGGTTGTTAATATAAACAACACTGCAATGAACATCCTCTCCATGCTTCTCATGGAACTTCTCCAATTGTTTGCTCAAGATAAGTTCCTGCAAAAACAAATGGCAGTAAGAGATTTCTTCAATGAGCATGTGTTAGATTTTTAATCAAAAAGAAGAAAGAAGTTAAGTTCAGAGAACCAGAAGGCCTCTGCATTAACTTTCTGTGCAGGGCATGTTTCGGAGACTCGGGGCCCCTTCTTTGCACCCTGTGAGGCACCGCCTGTCTCTCAGGGCTGCTTACCAGTTCATTCCTCTCATCTGCCAACAGCGTATTTCTGTCTTCCAGCTTCCGTATCACTGAATTCAGTTCAGCAATTTTTAGTTGAAATCGCCTCACATCTCGCTCGTCCATATGTTGATCCTAAAAAAAAAAAAAAAAAAAGTCAAGACATAAATGTACTTTGAAGAAGTTGTGTGGAGCCTTCTTAGAAAATTCACATGACATAATGGGTGAGATCCTTATTCAGGGGCCCACATGCCACACAGCAAGGTGGGGAACACGCAAGCCCACGGCACACCTGCGGAAGACTCCACCTAGAAGGCCACTGAGACTTCAAATCCTTCTGTGGCTCCCTGGGGACCTTGTGATCAGGCCCTTCCCACCCTGTATCTCTTACAAAGGCCACCATGCACCGGCACCTCATACAGTGTCCGGTACTTTATAATTTATAACAGGAATTTATCCAGGAATGTATAACATCCCCTCCAATGCTGAGTGAATGAGTGAATGAATGAATACATGCTGCCTCAGTGTCCTCTGTGGCTGACCAGAAGAATGCCCCGTAAATGGATGGGGGACCAGCCTGAGGCTGGCACAAGCTGCTGCCCCTCACCTGGACGCCCATGAGCTCCACCATGTCCCCAATCCCTGGCGGGAGCTCTCTCTTTGGGCTACTGTGGTGCCGCTCAGCCTCCTTGACCTGAACCAGCTGCTCATCCAAAGCCTCTTTCTGCAGAAGCAGCTTCTGGGTCTGCCCAGCCTGCACGCCAAGTTCCTTCTCCAAGGCCAGAATCACACGGTCTTTCCCTTTGATCTCATCCATCTGAAAAGGAGAAAGAATAAGCAGTCAGCCCTAGGGGCTTGTGACCAAGGAAATCTCTCCCCTGCTTGGGGCCTTCAGCCCAGGGAAAGGTCAAAGCAGTGTCTCGGGCCTGAGTCAACTGAATTCAGTAAACTCCAGATGCAGAGCAAGCATAGCCCACAGCCCAGGGCTTGTTCCCTGTCACTGCCCCAAGACAGAGGAGACAGAGCTAGGGGTTAAGGCACATATATATTCAACCTGACACACGTACTGACATCAATGTATGCTCCTGTCTCTCTTATGTTAATGAAATAAAATAAAACACTGCCAGCCCCCAGCCACGCCTCTGCAGCTCAGCTTCTTGGCAGAGTTGGCTTCTCTCTCCGTCTCCAGGCCCATGTCTCCCTCTCAGTCATTGACCCTCTCCTGCCTGGCCACAGCTCCCCAACCCTCACCACCAGACAGCTCCTGCCAAGGTCACCAGTGCTCTCCTGGCCACCGAACCCACCAGATGACATTCTGTCCTCCCGCCCTGACTCCATCACTCACTCCCTGACTTCATGACCTCCTGTTCCCTCTCCCCAAGGTCACTTCCCAGTTTCTATATTCTTTATAGACTGTCTTGCTCTGGCTGTCATTGAAGCCTGGAGTTTCCAAGGCTCAGGTCTCTTCTCACTCTGTATCCTCTCCAAGGCAGCCAGGTCCTTCCCAATGGTATCAAGCCCACAGATGCAGCAGATCTTAAACACATGCCTCAGCCCTGACTTCTCTCTGAGTTCCACAATCACAGAACCAGCTGGCTGCTTCACACCTCTGCTTGGATCTCAGAGGGACCACAGCTTCCCCACGTACAAACCTGAACTTAATCTTCAGTTCACCCCCAGCCCTGTCTTGTCCAGCCTTCCTACGGGGGAGTGTCAGAAAGGACACAGGCTCAACACAGTGGGCCGGGTGACAGTGCGGAAACCACACCAAAAAAAGTATGCAGAGGAAGTGTCAACCCCAGGTCATCCACTCTGGCTTTTTCTGGATGCTCCAGTGAGGGCACTGTCCTGGTTAGATAGCAGGTTAGACCCATGGCCTTCCCGGAACTTCAGAATGGAACCTTATTTGGAAAGAGGGTAACCGCAGGTGCAATTAGTTAAGATGAGGTCCTCCTGGAGCAGGGTGGGCCCTTATGACTGGTGTCCTTATCAGAGGAGAAGATAGACACAGAGGGGAAGGCCGTGTGTGGATGGAGGCAGAGGCTGGAGGGACGCAGCCTCAAGCCAAGGAACTCAAGGTCAGCTAGCAACACCAGCATCAGGAAGAGGCTGGGAAGGATCCTCTTCCACAGCCTTAGGGGGAAGTGTGGGCATGCAGACACCTTGATTTCAATCTCCTGGCCTCCAGAACTGTATGGGAACACATTTTTGTCATGTTAAGCCATGAAGTTTGAGAGTATTTGTTGCAGCAACTGCAAGGAAACAGATGCAAAGGCTCCTCCTGCTCAGCCCGCTCATGTAGCAGGTTACATTTCAGTGGATTACAATCCAAAGCTCTTACTTCTAAATCATATACCTTGATTTCAGACACAGACTGTCACAGCAGAGAATTTAGGTGAAGGGCCCTGTTCTGATAGCAGAGAGAAGCCAGGTAAAATCCCACCCACCCCTCAACGCTTACCATATGACCATGGGCAGGTTGGGCCACCTCTCTGACTCAACTTCTGTCTCTGTAAAATGTGGACAATAAGAAGACTTTAGAACCAACTCTGTCTAACTGTTGAGGAGCTTTAGAGCAACCACGGGAAGAACCTGGCACAGTGCCTGGCATATCGCAAGCCCGCCATCAGTGTTCGCTGCCACTCTTAATCTCTTCTAGCCCCTAGGTAACACGAGGCTATTTTATTTTAAAAGAAGACCACTAAAAACTGAAAAAATAACATATGAGAGAAGATGTGAAAAAATAACAAATGAGAGAAGAAAGGAAATGGTACCCCTAGATTCCAGACTGATAGGTTTTCCAGCCAAGTACTACAGTGCTACAGTTCTGATGTGGAATTTCCGTCACTTGCAACCAAAATAATCCTAAGCAACAGAGAGTTCAGGAAAGAACAACAAACTTGCCAGGGGTATCACTTCTCTCTTATGTGCTAGTTGGGAGCTAGGTACTAATTTGTACTTAAGAGCTCTCTGAGGCACCTTCTTTGGAAGACAAAAGGCTGTTTCCGTCGGCCAGGATGATCTCTTGGCCCCTGCAATGGGTGCCCCATGCAGTTTCTCCTAAGCAGCCGCTGAATGTGCCCACTGCTCCCCCTGGTGATGGTCCACCAGCATCTACCTGCTTGGGCCAAATCCCAAATCCCGAGTATTGCAATTTCCAAATGGGTAGGAGCACCGTCCGTTGCACAGGAGGAATCTTTAAACATGCTGAAAACACCACTGCCAAGGTAGATGCCAACCCCAAAGCAAAAATCATTATGCAGAAGGAGCTTATTCATTTAATTCGCTCAAGCACGCTTTCATTAACTCAACACATACTGAGCTAAGCACTATTAGTAGGTGCTGAGAAACATTAGTGGGCAAAAGAGATCAGACTCCCTGCCCTGGGAGCTTCTATTCTGTGGGAGGGGGCAGTAGGCAATAAACATAATAAATAAGCAGACATGGTAGCGATTCAGAGGGATTTGTGCTATGAGGAGAAAAACAACAATAACAACATCAAAGTGAGGGAAATTGGTAGGGGCAGCTAAGCGTGTTGCAAGCCAACAGTCTGTCCATCACGGGTAAGAGAGGGTTCTCATCTGCCCCTCAGTGTCAGCTTTGCAGTGAAGCCCCCACCACTGCCTTCCACTAGCTCCCCACAAAAGGCAGCACCATCACAAGCAAGACATCTCCAGGATCCCAAATTCTCCACCTGGAGGAGCACCAATTCTCCCTTGTGCTAGTAAGTGAGACAGAGGGCTTCTGCCCCAGCCACCACAAGAAAGTTTCCTAGAAAATATTCTCAAACAGCAGAGACGGCATCTAGAAATGGCCGGCCGGCCAATGCAGAACACGTTCCAGAGCCAGCATGAGAGTCCTGAGGCCCCAGAGGTTAAGACACTGGCAAGCTCATGTAGCAAGAGGCAGGCACACTCACAGTTCACTGACTTTACTCCTGGATCACAAGCTGAGCTCTCAGTGATCCTACCTCACTGCCCTTGGGACCCGGATGAAATCCTGAGCTACCTGGAACTGCTCACCTGACCGTATGGAACATCCCTCAGCTTCCTTCCCGCATCCATCTCCCCTTCTCCCACACACCCAGTCTTAGCATGTGCAGTAGGAAAGGGGTGGAACTAACACCACTGTAAGTTCCCAGGGCAGTCCCTGATTGGCTTATGCCACCCAAATGTCCCAGCCCCAACAGTAATTGCTTCAGGATGGATGCACAACCCAATCAGCACCAATGGCCAGAAGAGGGCAGCGCCAGGATCCTCCTGTTTTTCTTTAGGAGCTGAGAAAGGGACTCTGGGCAGTGTGGTGTAAGAACACAGGACCTGGCATAGTGGTGGCATCCCCCAACACAACATGAGAGCCCACAGCCTGGGAATGACACAGCGGGAGGCAGAGCAGAGCCCGAGAACCCAGGATCCTGGATGACATCGTTAGTGCACCTGGAGCTGCTCCTACAGCAAATTCCATGACTTCAGTTGGGAGAGCCAATAGATTCCCATGGCCTAAGCTGGTTTGATATGGAATTTCTGTCACTTGTGACCAAAAGAATCACAATCAACAGAGTTCAGGAAAGAATGACAAACTTGATGTTGGCTATCGCTCCTCTCAATGCTAGCATGAGCTAGATACTATTTTATACTTAAAAGACACTCTCTGAGTCTTTAAAAGATCCTCAAAGTGGACATCATTTACCCCAAGTTACATGCAAACTTGAGGCCCAGTGCTAACACTCAAGTTAGCAGCAGAACCATGACTCAAATGCAGATTGTCCTCTCCAAGCCCTCACCGTCCCCTCTGCCCTGAAGGAACAGAGTCCAGTTGTTTCTCGGCAGTCAAGTACACCACGAAACGTATCTCAGTGAAAACAAGCCCACCGACCCATGACTGATTTTGTGAGCTCCACTTTATTGCAAAGTTTGGGGGACTCAAAGACTGAAGCAGAGGCCACTATCCCAACATCCATTCTCATTCTTGGTACCTGTAGTGAGGCGAATAATGTCCCCCAAAATGTCACATCTATCCCAAAAATCAGAATGTGACCTTATTTGGAAATAGGGCCTTTGCAGATGAAATGAAGATGCACATTAAGATGAGGTCATACCAGGTTAGGGTGGACCCTAAACCCACTGACTGGCATCCTTAAAAGAAGAGGATACCTGTAATCCCAGCAGTTTGGGAGGTCAAGGCAGGTGAATTACCTGGGGTCAGGAGCCTGAGACCAATCTGGCCAACATGGTGAAACCCCATTTCTACTAAAAATACAATAATTAGCCAGGTGTGGTGGTGCGTGCCTGTAATCCCAGCTACTTGGGAGGCTGAGGCAGGAGAATTGCTTGAACCCGGGAGGCGGAGGTTGCAGTGAGCTGAGGTCACGCCACTGCACTCCAGCCTGAGTGACAGAGTGAGACTCTGTCTCAAAGAAGAAGAAGAAGAGGAAGAGGAAGAGGAAGAGGAAGAGGAAGAAGAGGAGGAAGAAGAGGAGGAAGAAGAGGAGGAAGAAGAAGAGGAAGAAGAAAGAAGAAGAGGAAGAAGAAAGAAGAAGAAGAAGGAGAAGAAGAAGAAGGAGGAGAAGAAGGAGGAGAAGGAGAAGAGAGGAGAAGGAGGAGAAGGAGGAGAAGGAGGAGAAGGAGAAAGAAGAAGAAAGAAGAAGAAAGAAGAAGAAAGAAGAAGAAAGAAGAAGAAAGAAGAAGAAAGAAGAAGAAAGAAGAAAGAAGAAGAAAGAAGAAAGAAGAAAGAAGAAAGAAGAAAGAAGAAAGAAGAAAGAAGAAGAAGAAGAAGAAGAGATGCAGACATGCAGGCTAGAATGCCATGTGCAGGCAG